CGCAACAGTCAGCCTGCTACTAGTTACTAGTGACTCCTGCTGCTGCTGCTGCCGCTGCTGCTGCTACTGCTACTGCTACTACATCTACTAGTAGTAGTAGTAGTAGTAGTAGTAGTAGTACTACTACTACTACGACGACGACGACGACTACTACTACTACTACTAGTACGACGACGACGACGACGACGAACACTGCGATTGTGCCACTGCTACCGGTGCTAAACGAAATGCCTTGCATTCAATTCCTTGCACATGCGAATGTTGAACCGTCGGTGCATGGGGCCGGAATTCTGTCGGGGGCCAACCCTTGTCCACGCCCGGATTCTGGTTCTTACTTGCCTGAGAGTCCGGACAGTTTCAGCAGGCGGATTTGAACGTTGCGACTGGCAATAAAGACGGCGCGCTGCTCAGACGCCCGACGATGGCTGTGACCAGTAATTTCAATCGCGAGCTGCCGTGCCAGAGCTGAAGGTGAGTCTCCACTCATGGCCGCCGTGCTACGAGATCATGCAGAGGTGCTTTGTTGTGGGGAAGCACGGCGCAAATCATTCGAGCACGACAGCTGACGCAGACGAATTAGCTGCTTCTGTCGATCTGCATTGACAAAAAAAGCCTTTGATTGTGTGAGGTCGATGGGGTTGGCAAGCAAGCATGCTAGAGGCTGCATGTCGTGCTGACATAGTGCCGGCATTCGCTGAATGAACTGCCAGGTTGTGCAGGTGCTGTGCCAAGCTCGTGTGCCTTCGCCAAACAAAGCACAGACCACATTTCGTTCAGAAAGAGGTCCTTATTCCGGAGTTGCCAGAGTCGGAGCGTCTTTGTTTCTTCGCTTGTTTAGTGCAGAAGGCCAACATGTCTGCACAGGATGCTTATGCTGTGAGATGAAGTGAGATGCCTCTACAGTTCCGTTCGATTCCTGCTTAACGTTGTGCACGAAGCGAAAAGTATTCAGGTATTTCTTGGTGTGCGCATTCAGGCCGACCCGCTGAATGCAGCCACCAATGGTGCTACTCCGTTGTGACGTCCCAAGGAATCAGTTCAGTTCGGAAGTCCCAAGGCACAAATTGGCACAAGTGGATACATTTGGCTCCTTTCTGGCACATGTCAGTAAGCTTCCTCAGGTTTGCCGCTCACGTTCTCGGCTTGGGAAGCGTCGCCAGCATCTGAGCTGGCTGCACTCGGTCGTAGTTTCCACAGACAGATCTGTGCCTCCATTCTGTAGAGACCTTCTCTCCACTTCCTGGCCATCACACTCGGGGTAAATACGACTCTCACAAGTTTTATTCCGCACTTCCACAGAAAACCCCTAAACATCGAAGTAGCCTTTGCAAAATTCCAATCGGTCCTCATGCATTCTCTCATCGTCTCTATGTTCAAAGTCAGACGACCTTTCGCACTTGCATCTTACTAGAACTTAACGAAATCTTGATACTGTTGCAGGTCTGCTTGATTTTCTTAATAAAGCTCGTGTCAAACCCCCAGGCTTTTGCTGGGGTGGCTGCCTTCAGTTAAAGGCGTTGCCACACACGCCGAGAGAAAACTGCAAGAGTCTGGACAGACAGAACGGACAAGGCTGAAATTGCGTTCTCTCTTAATGCGTGTGCGTGTTTGGCACGACAGCCCCGGCCCCTTGCCACAAGCTTAGTACCTTGGGCGGGATCGCAGGGGTAGAGCGTCTGTTCCCGAGAAGTGTGCTGTGTTGCCCAAGCTGCGAGGCTTGAGGGGGTGGGAGTTGCAATGTCTGTCGGCGGTGGCAAATTCGGTAGCCTGGGGAGGAACCCCATGAAGTTTCGTGGCATTCTGAGATTGAGGGGCTCGATGACGCGAGCAGGGATTGCAGCAATGGTAGGAAAGACTCCTTTCCTCTGGCCGAAGTGGGATAAAAAATGGCAAAATCTGACTCGAGTCGGACTTACAAGATCTTGCAAGTCGGATTCGATCGCGAGTTAACTCACCGGTGCAGTACCCGTTTCATATCTGCCTAACATACATTGAATTGAACATCCGGTCCATGTGGAATCGTATCGAGTTTATACTGACGTGCAAGAGCATCCGACCGAAAGGTACTGAAATCACATTTCATTCTTGGTCCCCGCATAGTTTACAGTCAGTTGGAAGCTTGGTCTCGCGGGGAGTGAAATGAGAGGTTGCTGTCTTTTGGGCGGATGGGTGGGAGGCATAAAAGGCAAAACTCTCCCGTGATGCCATCGTAGAGCCAAAGCTCCAGAGGCACAGCACAGGGAGCAGAGGCTGCCTTGTAAGTGCCGTCATGACCAGCAAGTACACCTCAAGGCCATGGGCGAGGCCCATGCAAGAAGTCCTAAGCTGAAGCAAAACGTGCCAACAAGTATCTGGCGACATCTTTCACTCCACTCAGTGGAACGGACGGTGGTGGTGACATTGTTGAGAATGCACGCAGAACAGCACCAAAGGTTGTCTCAGCACCACTTTGAGTTCAGATCGAGCCAAAACGGTGGTTTCAACACCACCTTGGCAGAAAACCAAAAATTTGGAGGCCGTCCCTACAGACACTGTGGTCGAAGTATGGTATGCAGTGGATCTGTAGATCCGCGAGTTGTGGAAGCAATGTGAGAATTCGGGAAGATGCGTCCGATATCCTGATGATCCTTCGGCTTGAGACAAACGATGCAATGTTCTTTTTGTGCATCAGGCCAACATCCTGAGGCAGACGGTTGTGCTGATCTTAGCTTCATGAGCTTCATGAGAACGATTGAAACTACGACATGTCGTGACTACCTCTTGCATTCGGAGCTCTGTGCTTTTGATCGCCTCTATCAGACAACCAACTGTGCGGAGGACCGTGAGAGGTCCAACTCAATGAGCCAAGGGCCTCCGAATCGCCTTTAGGTTTTGGCATTTCCCACCCGACGTCGTCCTGATCCTACCGCACTCCAGGAGGCTTGCCTACCGTACCCAACATTCCCAGCTAAAATCACCTTCGTTCGGGATGTCCCAACCGACGTGCGCCTTGGGAGCCAATTGGCAGTGTTCATCCAATGGCTCCTTTCGTCTATTTCCTCATACATGATTAGGTGCCAACATACCCAGTACGTGGCATTGTTAACCTTGTCGTAAACAGCAATTCAGACATCTGCATGCCGACAGACAGTGCTTTGAGCTTGTGCGCTGCATGTTCAAGTACATGTACATGGGTGTCAGAACCATTGCGATGTACAAGTCTATACATCTGTACACAGTGTTGTACATATCATGCGTAATTACATAAATGAATATGTATGTATGTATGTATGTATGTATGTATGTATGTATGTATGTATGTATGTATGTATGTGTACGTATATATATATATATATATATATATATAGACAGATAGGTGCACACCAGCTTTCAATATGCGCACGTAAACGGTAGACATGCAAACCCAATGCATGCATATATCCCTGCCCCTGCTGCTGCGCAGATTGGGGGTGCCGCAATTTCCCGGCAAAAACATATCCGCCACCCCTTATGGTATCCCACCCCTGCCCTGTGCGGAAAGCGGCAATCTGCGCAGTAGTTTCCCGCATCAGACATGAATTACAATGCTTGGTTATGAGGGTTGTATGGCGACGGTGAATGGTGGCACCTATTCTTTTGACGATACCGTTGATGACGACGACAATGATGATGTTGAGCATGATGTCAAAACTGATCCGATTGTCGACTCGCGTCGCCGTCTAGAGCAGCACAACATCATGAGCAGTATCACCGGTGCCACAGCAAGAAGGAAGATAAAGAGCAACACATAAGAACTTCAAGAACCGCGGACGCGAGCCGCACGACCATAGCAGTTGTAGACATGAATGGTGGTGGAGAAGATGAGAAGAAGTGGTCTTAAAGTGCCGCATAGCAGTAGTTGGGTCACGAATCGTGACAAGAGGTCCTTGTGTTACACGTGTTGCGTACTCCAATTCAGGCCAACCAAAGCCTCAGCTAAGGGGTGCGCAGAGCCCACCACAACAAAGAACCACAGCGGCGGGGCGGGGATGCGGGTGGGGAAGGGTACCACGACAGGCCCCACCCTACGTGGCGGAGGGTGGGCCGGGGGAGGGCAAGGGGGAGGATACCATGGGGAGGGGGGGGGGACGGGGTGTGTGGCAGCCCTGCATCCTTTATGCATACATGCTTTACGCATGCATAACGAATGCATACAGGCATACATGTGTACATGCTTATGTGCATGTACACTATGTGCATGTACACGCTGTACACATGCAGATAATAATCCAGGCATACATACACACATACACACATACATACATACATACACACATACACACATACACACATACATACATACATACATACATACATACATACGGACCAGCACACATACGTACAGACGTACAAATACTGTATGTGTTTAAAACAACCAAGAAGCCAGCAAGCCACAAAAGCCAAGATACCAGACCCAGACGATCACATCCGGCCTCCCTTAACCTTCCGTGGTCTCGACGTTTGGCAAAAGCTGCATACAGCAGTAAGTGGGTCACCGAACTTTGCCCCTATTGACTGTTGAAGTAGGCAAAACAGCATCCAGCGAACCCAGAAGCACAGGTTCCCGAGAGTTCCATCCTGCGTTTTTGCCCGCGCCGCTGCACGCATCGACACCTGGCAAGAAGCTGCATCAACCAACGCAAATCACATGTCGTGAGTTCAGAAAAGCATGTCGGGCTGTGGAGCGAAAAGATCCCGAGGATGCCGAGCCCCAGGCAGTCTCCGGACTAGTTGACGATCTGGACTCGGACCGCTAGGACTGCTCAATGCTCGACACGTTTCTAGTAGGCCCCGACGAGCACATTGAGCATGATCAGTGCCGTTTTCCGGGCTGGAGAGAAAGACCAAAGAAGTCTTCTCCTTCACCCTGCGTCAAGCGCACCGCAGTCAACATGTTCAGGCTTTGATACTGTGTTTTGGCTTTCATTCGTGTGCCGACTAGCCAAGTTGTTGCAGATGTTGCACATCGCAAGCGGTGAAGAGCACTTGCTTTGGCTTCCATCACCGGGTCAAATCGGGTCAACTTCCGAGCAGAATGCACAATTTGCAAACACGCGAGAAATTTGTGCTCCCGATTCCGTTGAGCATTGATGCTTTGAAACTGGACTTTGGAGAAGGGGCTGAAATCTTTGTGATTTTTCTATCACGCTGACAGGCAGAGTGGCCGAAAGCTCCAGCGTTTGCGAAAGCTGGATCCTGATTTCGGGCAGGCCAGCAGCCGGGGTCTAGTCATCACATTTCAGCTGCGGACAGATTACCAACGCGCCTGAGCAAGGAGCTAGCATGAGTTGGTTGTCTGCGCATTCCGCGGAGGTGCTTCAGTTTGTCCAGAAGCACAGCCATGCAGAGCTAGGACTGGGCGCAGTTGCGGAGGGCATCCGAGGCATCAATATCAATGAACATCGGGTTCAACTCAACCGCAATGTGATGGAGCAACTGTCCGAAGCCAACACTCAAGGACTCTAAATCATAGTGGACTACTGTCGGTCGGTAACGACTGATGTGTTGTCACCAAAGTTCGTCCTGACGAGGCATTGAATCCGTCTTGAATCATCAAGCCCAATCATTCTTGGAAGCCTTACGTGGGTTAAAATGTCTTCGTGTCACCAAAGTGTAGACTCCAAAGGCAGGCGTTGTCTGAGCCTGCTGCCCTGAGCGCGAGACTAGAGCACCCTTAGAGCGCCCTTAACGGCTCTCACGGCCCATGGCCCCTGCGTGGCCATGGCTTGCCTTGCTGTTTGCCTGTGGCGGCTCTGCTCCCGTGCTTGATTGTGAGGCTCTGCAAAGCCGTGTCGAGTTGGATTTACACGGGCACAACCGGAATTGGAAAAAAGCGATTGCTGCTGTGGCCAATGGGGCCAGCTCAGGCTGTGGAAGGTGCTTCTTCTATTTGGGTGCACTATTGGCACTTGGCGAGCCCGAAGTTGCGCAATTCGCACGCTTCAGAGTTTCTCGCGATGGTGGCATCGAGTTTCAGTGGGCTTCGCTTCCCGAGTCTCAAACGGAGAGCCTGGATCGGCCGCTGCTTGCATATTACATCGGAGCTGAGAAAAAAGATGCATTCTCGACACTGGCCCTCTCAAACTACATGCTGAAGGGCCTGATGCTGGGCGCCACCAGGTGGTGGCAAGGTTCCAGAAATCAGATAGGTGTGCCAGCGATCAGCCGGATCCCACACGAGCATGGGTCAGGAAACTCATTGTGTCCAGTTGTCTTGCGAGCGCTGGAGGTCGTGGCCGAGACGGCCGCCTCAAATGAAGACAAAGGATCCGATGTCAGCGTCTTGCAATTCTACATTCGGAATGCTACAGAAGGCCGTCGGGCCAAAAAGGAGCTGCAAGACTGGATGCTGGCGCGATCGCGTGATGGATGGGGGCCGGCGAAGTATGTGCAGTCGGCCCTGTTCTTGCATGGAGATGAAGATCTCGGCGTGCCTCGAAATACCTCGCATGCTGCTATGCTGCTAGATTCTGTTGCTCAGGATGGAAGTGCAGAAGCATCCTGGGCGGCACTGCTAGTGCATGCCCGACGAAGCAACGCGAGTGGCATTCTGCGTTATGCCGAGCAAGTTCGTGACTCTGACGCCCCACAGCTTCAGAAAGTCATGGCACAGCACTACTTACACCTCTATGGCTCCAATAATGCCAGCCTTGCTGGGGTTTACTTGCTTACCGCAGCCGATCTTGGAGATCCTAATGCGCAGCAATTGCTTCCAGACCGCGCTTGATCACGACATGCTGCAAACCTTGGTTTCATCAAGTTGCATGAACAACTCTAAAGCACGAGCATGAACAGGAATCCTGAATACCTCACATCATCGCAGCTGAGGGTTGCACACGCCTACGCTGGGCTGAATGTGCCAGAGCTGTCCAACATCAAGATTCCAGGTGCTCCCAACGAAGCCCGGGCATTGCAGTATTACGGGCTTGCCGCGCGGCAAGGACGGCCGCTCGGCTGCCATCCATTGTAACCACAGAGCCGAAACGGGTTCGCACGATGCATGCACACGGTGACACACAGAATTCGCTGGATCCTGTCTCGAACGGGTCTTGATTGAGGCCAGTGTCAGCCATCAACGCAGTTTCGCTGATGTTGCGCAGAAGTAGCACCTGAGACATGACTTGCGGCAGATTCTCGTAACATTTTCGGTTCGAAGTGGAAATAGCAAGAGTTGGGAGACCACAAATCCTTTCCAGCTCGTCCAAGGTGACACGAGCCAGAGCTGCAGGGCTGCGGCAGCAACTCTGCAGAGCGTAGCATTGTCTTTCCATCCTGCTGCTCGGCCGTCTTGTGACAGCATCATGTCTCTGAATCCTGTCGTTGTTGTTGTTGTTGTTGTTGTCGTTGCTGTTGTCGTCGTTGTGGGCGTGAGGGTGGTTGTGATTACCTGGTCGTCGTCGTTGTTGTTGCTGTTGCTGTTGCTGCCCAAGCCATGGTTTACGCAGCATCTGCCCATGAGAATGAGAAATGCGGTGTAAGCTGGGTGGTTGTTGTACAGGGCGGTCAATTTAACAGACGGGGCTCCAGTTTTCGTCTCGAGCAGCAGGTAGAGACAAAGGCCCCGTTGAAATCAGGACTTTGTCTCTACCTGCTGCTAGAGACAAACAAGCACTGGAGCCGCGTCCGTTGTTTTGACCCCCGTTTACAACAACCACCTACATTACACCACATTTCCACCCCAGGTATGGGAATATGCGAAATGTAGAAGGGTTTTCACGTGTTTTGGAAGGATTTTAATGGTAATGCTGTCATGAGATTCTGCAGGGTGTTATATGGGGCTGGTTTTGAAAAGGCGTATCTGGAATTTTCTTCGGGTTTTCATTGGACATCGAACGGTTCAAAAGGGATGTTGAAGGGTTTTATGTCATGTTGAAGAGCTTCAGTGTGATTTGGAATGGCTTTAGTAGGATTTAAAAGGGTTTGATTGGGATTTTGAAGGTGGGGGTTTAGAAGGGCTTTGATGGTGTTTAGGATCGTTTTAAAGGGTTTTAGTGGTGTTTGGAAGGGGGCTTAGAAAGATCCCAATGCTGTGATTTAGGCGCTGCAGCCCAGAACTCAAGCCCGAACCCAAATCCAAACCTAAAGTCTCCAAACCAGAAGACCGCAGGTTCTTAAGCGTAGACACCCGTGAACCCTGGACAGAAAATCCTTGGATCCGTTGAACATAGGTAGAAATCCGCGAAAATATTTGGAAATCCTGTGAAAATCCTTGAAAACTTCCCTATATTTGGAAATATTTCTGGAGATCCTCGGAAATACCTTGCAAATCCTTGCAAAATACTCTGAAAGTCCTTTTGAAAACCATGAAAATCGTCTGCAAATCCTTCATGCCCTGTACACCCTAGCCACGTGTTGGTGTTGTTGTTGTTGTTGATGTTGGGGTGGGGGGATGCCTCAAGCTGTCTCAGAGGCTCAGGATGTACAAGCACAGCAACCCGTGCAGGTTACAGGTGCTGTGCATGCCCGGAGAAGTGCGCAACTGAGGATGTGCTGTCCTTGCACAGTGACGCGCGAAGGAATTTCCTTGAGAGCCATGAGGAAGCCGCGCTGATTCACTACGTTCTGCTATCTGAATTGGGATCAATGAGCAGCCATATCAATGCCGCTGATCTTTGGGCTAAGGGGACTGCAGAGCAATGGCACTTCAGATGTTGGAGATCAGCTGGACTGGGGATTGCTCGAGAATGTGAGCTGGACTATCGCCGCAGAGCCGCCGCTTCCGGCGATGTCGATGCGATGCTTGATGTAGCTGATGCTTACCTGTCAAGCGATGAGACGACTTTGGCGTACCAGTGGGCAAGCTTGGCAAGCACCAGCGGAAGCACTCGAGCCAACTTCAGTGTGGCATACCTGAAGCAACACGGAGTCGGAACGGCCCAGGATGTTGACGGTGCTTGCAAGACTTACTGCTCTCTCTTGCATCTTGACACAGAGCCACTGCTTGTTCGAGGCGTGGTCCATCGTTGATCGTAGCAGGGCACACTGTTGTTTAAAATCCAAATCAATCTAAGTCATGTCATTAATTCAGGATTTGCAGGTTTACCGCATGTGCACGAATGCTCCTGCGCCGATCAAACACCATTGCACAGGCTGTCATTTTTAACAGGCCCGTGCTTGCCAACGGAGTGCTTCTTCAGCTGTGTTGCATCAGATACATGCGCAGGGCAGGCCAAGTCCCCTTGTGTGATGCCTTCACTCAGTGAGAGGTTAAGAGCAGAGGGTGGTTGAACTTAGTGACGAGGCTTCAACCGTATCGTAATTATGCATTCAAGGCATTATGTGGGGCCCCTTGCTTCGGGAAGCCTTGTTGCTGATTTCGGAAGGGTGCTGTCATGTGCACTGCCAGGGTAACGGTACCTCCTTTGCAGTTTTATTGTCAGCTTGAAATCGCTGCTTTCATCCTGCCACTTCCTTATTTTGCACACGCCTGTCCCGAGTGAGGGACATGAAGGTCCGCTGATGCATTGGCCTTTTCAGAATGGCCGTCAGGGCCTGTGTACCCGCTCGAGCACCGTGCCACGAGTCAAGCATGCAGGGTTCATGTGAGCATGTTGTTGCAGGCATGCACTTTCAGGGCCAACAAATGGTCAGCCTGTTGGTTGTGATGCCCGCTGGCAAAACACAGCAGTCTCATACGCCCTCCGGTCCCATCTTGACTGAACTACTCGCTCATACGAGCGCTACTTGACCTCCTTCATTCCGGCGATAGAAGTCCTTCGGAGGCACAGGTATTGCGAAGTACTGAACAGCGGGCTATATGGGGGGTGTATGTCCACGCGCCCTGCAGCAGCCTCCGCATTGCGCATCTAATAGGTGGAATGTCGATAGGCCTGGTCCCGTTTTGGGCTCGGCATGGCTCCGATTCGCAACAGCAATGTATCCCAACGCTTTCGCAACGTCTGCAGGGAGAAGGACCAGCGTCTCTGATCACGTGACAGAGAGCCTAAAGCTACGACGACAACTCTAACAAGTCCTCGGCCTCCACCTTGGCAGACTGGGGTCTTGGCTCTCTGCTGAACAAAGCGCTGGGTAAGTGCTGGGTGTTCATGATCCTCGGGTACTCTTGGGAAGTGTAAAGGAGGCCCTGGTCGTCTGGAGGCCCATTCTCATCAAACCATCAAAAGCTAGAGCAGAGCAGCCTGCTTCCCGTACCCATTCCCACGTGATGCACTTCGGGAGCAATGCAATGAGGATAACAGGAAGAACAACAGTGTGATGAGTCGTCGGCTCAACGGCAAACCAGGCGAAGCCAGGGTCCCAGGCTGGATGTGCCTCCTCAGAATAAAGTTGAACGCAGTGATAGCGTTGACCGTCTCAGCAAAGTGGTGGTAGGGGCGACCTGATCCATATAGGTCGCGTCCATACAGACGCCACCCAGTCAGAAACAAGTTCTCCGTCAAAAGGCTTCATCCAATGAGAGCATCGAGATCGGAGCCACCAACCTCAAGGAGCCATCGTGGCTATCTCTGCCCTGTTACCCTGTAACCCGGCCGGTGACCTCTTTGCAGCTCTAGCCGCGTCAGCGGCATTCCGGGGAAGGAGGACTGAAATCCAGCAGACAAGAAGGACAAGGATGACTCCAGGGTACCCCACGGTGGAAACGAAGTCGATGACCTTCCTCTCTTCTTGGCAGCGGCAAAGGAGCTGTGCAATCCAGGGAAAGGAAAACCAAGTCCAACAGCTTTCCTGCTGGCAGTGGGGGCCGAAGAGGTGTAAGTACCTGCCGGACAAGGCAGCGGCGATATAGCGAGTTGCACTCCAGGCACAGGAGGCGGAGGTGTCTGCCGTCGAGCTAGGCAGCTCCTTCTGACACGTAAAAAAGCTGGTCGTGCCGGGCCTATGCACTCCGGTGTGTCAGCACAGCACAGCCTTACACCCAAATGTCACCGCCAAGCAATGGCCTTATAGGAAATACCTGATTTGGCAAGCCCCTGTGGTCATTGATATCCGGGTGTGACGTACTCTGGACCTGTTTAAGGCTAGCGTGGTGGCAGGAAAATGCCCAGGGATCCATCCGGGATTTTCGCCATTTTCCTTTCTCCTTCGCTGATGACGTTACAGCCTGGATCCGTGCGCAGACGCCTTCGATGCAACAGGCGAACTGAGTCACTGTCACTGAACTTAGTGACGAGGCTTGAACCGCATCGTATGGGTTCAAGGAACCCTTCCTCCCGTCGCGCGACGGGCATTTTCCTTTCTCTTGCGGCTAATGACTCTCCAGCCTGGATCCGCGTGCAGACGTTTTTGATGTAAACGGAGAGTTGGGTCACTGCAGAATGCGCGCGCGAGTTTACACGGCCCTGAGATCGATTGATTAGAAGCTCGCACGTGGTAGCATGACAGTTCTTGCATGCCAACTTGCACGCGCGAGTTTGCACGGCGTTGAGATCGATTTTTTAGCTATCGCATGAGAGCATGACAGTTCTTGCATAGCGGCATGTTAGCTAGGCTGCGCCTGTAAAAACACCAAGAGAACTGCTTGCATGCTTTGTGATCCAGTTCCCTGGCCAGGCATGGCGCTCTTTCAAATCGCGCGTTTGAGAGTAGCAACCGGGGTGGAATGCTGCGAAGCTGCGGAGCACTCCCTGCGATGGGTTAGCCACTGGGCCGCTGTCTTTGGACTTCTACTGAGTGCTTTGATTGCAACTGCAACCGGTTTCTAACTTGTAGGAACTCTCCCGTTTTGCTCGGGGTGAGGTGCTGGCGCCGCAAGCTCCTTTTTCTAGCGCTATGCAGTCGGTTCGGAGACTGGGCCGCTGGTGTCCCGCCGGGCCTTCGACTGGGCAAGCTTTCTGTTCACCGTTTCGGACTGAGAGGATGTCGACTGATTCAAAAAGTCAACAAGTAACGCCAGCAGATTTCGGACTACCATGCCATCGACAGTCCCTTTGCCCAGGGGATATGCATCCCAGGAGCCTCGGATCTGTTGGCTTCGTTGGAATCGGTGTCCTGCTCAGCCCCTGTTGCTCTGTTGCCCCTGATTCCCTCATTCGACAAGCTACCGCTTTAAAGGCCGTGGATGCTTCACCTATCTTTACACATGGATGTCCACACAGATCATCCTGTGTCATAGGAAACGTTACAGTCGAGACTAGAAGGCGAGTGGCCAACTTCCATTCAATGTCACCAGATACCTGTGAGCTCCTTCTGTGCACCACAGGCCATTGCAGCTGACTCTGCTACAGCTTCAGCTTCTCGGACCCAACCTGCGTGTCTTAAGGCTAGGTCCTGGGTCTTTGTTGGCATCTCGGAGATGGCTTTGGTCTGGCCCTGTTGCCTTTGCCTTTCTTTGTGTGTACTGTAGAAAGGTGTTTCTCACGAAGGCAGCGCGCAGGCTCCTTGAAAGCCACTCGCTTTTGCGAGATGCCAAGCAAGCCAGAGCCCATTTGAGGTCGTGGAGTTCGCGAGGTTCCCTGAGGTCGGAAGACTCGATACAAAGTCTAAATGGGCTCTTTAGTATTCCGCGAAGATGCACAAGATCCCACAAGTATCATGCAGCCCCACGGTTGAGGACTTCTCCTGGAGTGTCGCCTCGCTGTCCGTCGTTCTCGGCGCTTGCGGAGCTCTCGTCTCAGTGACGGCGAAGCAGAGGAGCTGGTGCGATAAAGAGCACAGATCATGCCAGATGCCAGTTTCAACTTTGTAGCCCAACCAACTCTGACTCGGACTCGAACCCAGGCTGCAGGGCTCTGGAAGATTCGCAGATGAGGGCCTTGGCAGCTCTTCGTCAGTTCAATTATTTCTGGGTAGCTCCCCGTGCTTTGTCTAGAGACACCACAGACTTGCAGTGACCTTTCCATGATGCACAGAATAAGGTGATTAGTGTGTTCAATGACATGGAGATCTTGCTTCACAATGCCACTTGCAGCAGGCCATCTGCAGTGCTGCGGCTCTCTCATCTCATCAGAAGTTCATAACACTGAGAGGCTTGATGCCGCAGTCAAGTATGGGTATAAGTTAGTTTTTCGACGACGGCAGAAATCGTTTTCGTCACATGTCACATACCACGCCGTGAAATGCCAAACTGCGGTGCCCCAACAGAAACGACTCGGCCTTTGATGCGGGAACTTCTTGTGGAGCTTGTTTTGTAACTGTGCCTGTGGTCTGCCATTCCATGGCTGCTGTATTCCAGACTGAAAGATGCTGTTGCAAGGCAAGAAACTGTTTGAAAGCTGCAGCTATTGGTTCATCGGTCAATTGAACCAGACTATGCGCAGATGCCGCCCAAGCCGGCAAATTTCGCTGTGCCTGAGGTAGCGCCACAGCAATGAAGTACAGACAAGCTCCAGCAGCACGAGGGGGCAGGCATCGGCAAAGGGGATAGAGACTGAAGCAGCCTCCGATCCTGGTATGTTGTTCTCACCAAAGCGGTGCAATCTGAGCTTTGGGGGCTCCACCGTCCTGCAGTCGTTGATTTCTCTGCTTTTGTCGTTGAGGCCTTCCACGGCATTGGCCCCTATTAGGTCTATTGTGCAAACTAACACTGGGATGGCAGACTCGCAAGCATGAGACCGGACGCGAAAGCCTCAAGTCCTTCACGAAAAGCTCCGAAGGTGGAAGATATTCACTCCTAAACTCATTAACGCTACCTTACACTGATTTGCATCTCGAGTGCGAGTGCCCGGTATGGCGAAAGTCTGGCACTTCCAAAACGGGGACGGGTTTGTAGAGACGCAGAAATCGCAAGGCTAGACCCCGTGAAAGGATAAAAGGCTGCTCCGCGGAATCCAAATTCAGTGAATCTTCAGGAGTAGTGCATGTCAGCAATCCAACCAACATACAAGCAGCCAAATGTCTCCTTCCCAACGGGCAACGGTAAGGATCTGCCAACATGTTCGGCCAGGTGAACACGTGGGGAATCCACATGACCAAAGCAACGACTGGCAACTCCTGAAGGCCAGGGTTGGTTGGTGGAGTTTTTGGAGAGTTGTGTAAACTAGCTTCTGCAACTCAACTCCTCGAGAGACAAGCACCAGGGAGCACCTGAGAGGTACCCGAAATGACAGAATGGGATCGTATCTTCCCACTTGCGCCCATATGGGGCACTGAGTCGAGAAGGGAGAGTGCACCAAGCATCTAAAACTCCGTGCCATTCTAGCACGTTCTACTGCCACCTAAAGCTTCTCTTCTTTGTAAGTCTCCACAGCTTCCCCAAATCTGGGCGGCAGCTGAGAAGGCACAGGACAACGGACAACGACCCCCTGGAATCAGGCGGAGATTTGTAGACCCAGGACCTAGAGTCTGCCGGTGCACTTGCTCGTCTTGTATCTTTGCCCGATTGAGTTCGGAGCATTTAGCTTGCATGTGCTGAACATGGGATGCAGGACTTCCCCCCATCCTTGTTGGTACGGACGGTAATGAGACATCTAATAGAGCAGTGTCGCGGTTCTGCTTCAAGACTTGGTGGCGGAATCCTCGCTAAAAGCTGCCCCTCGACTGGATTGTAAAGCTATGGAAATTTGACTTGCAGGTCCAGCGGGTGCCATCCTGTGAGACCGGCGATGTAACGTGAACTCGGCGCCTGCAGGCGAAAAGCAAAAGCCAGCGCAGGTTCCAGTAAGTCGACGCCGCCTTCAAGGCCTAAGCCAAGCACTCCCCCAAGCAGTGAGCCTCGAAGCGAGGCGTGGGAATGACCCCTCGCCTGGGTGGGGTGTACGGCGTATGGTTTAGAAATTGGTCCAGAATATCGCGTTCAAGATTCGGGATTAGGGTTTACGAACGTGTGGATTTACCCATCAAACCTTTGGACATGTTTGGACAGCTGGCTCAGGGCCGGGAGCATGTTCGATTTCGATGAACTGGATGAAACTTTGACGAGCGACCCGGCATCTGTACGGTCTGCACGAGCGCCATCCTCAGCGGCCAATGGAGTTGGAGGCATTGGAGGCCCTCCATCTCTTGAGTCACTGCTCGAAGAAGCGTCCGACTCAGAAAGCGAAGCAGAAGCCGATCGGGCACCGGAAGGATCAATCGTGAAGCTGGCTGCAGAGCCTAAAGCGGAACACAGAAACCCGACAAGTTTCGCAACGTCCTCAGCCCGGAGGTTGAGGGTGCCTGTGGTTCCTCCTGTGCGGGGTTCGATGCTAGCCTCAGATGAGGATTTGCTACAGTGGATGGCACAAAAGGCTTACCTGGGACAGGACATGTTTTTGATAGGAGATCCCGGACCACATCTTCGTAATGCTGCACTGCGTTTTGCCGCACAGACGGGCAGAGAAACCGAGTACATCGGCATAACAAGAGACACGACGGAAGCTGACCTGAAGCAACGTCGCGAGATCTCGAATGGGCAGCTGGCTTCCTGGTTTCTGTCTGGCAGGTTCTAGCAGTTCATCTGTCTAGAATCATGATTATTATGAGAATCATATTGCCAACCCGCCAGGCGTTCTAGCAATAAGATATCCCAAACTTCTTGTTGGAGTGCTGAAAGAAGCCGTGTAGTGTTTGCTAAAAACCAGTGTTCCGATCTGTAGCAGGGTTTGTTGGAGAAAAACCGCGTACTCTCAGCGCAACCCCTTCACACGAACCTGCCGTCCCATTGGCCACGCATATAGAATTGACCTCCAATGTCTTGTTATGTCGGCTATGCGAGTGATCGACATCCAGGTTTTTCACAATGCCCCGGCCGTGGAAGCGGCACTGAAGGGCCGGCTGCTGATTCTGGAAGGTGTGCAGAAGGCTGGGACGGAATAACAAATGCTGGTAGCCTTCAGTCGTTTGGGAGATTTAGAAGAACACCGCGAAGTCAAAACAGCCGTATGAGCCGATTTCGAAAGCAAGCTAACTTTCCATCGTGCGCCAGCGTCTGCAATCATTGATGACACATCGGTTGTTCCCGTAGCCGACCGGCAGAGAACGAGCTCAGGGCTTCGAGACAGCCGCAGCAGCAAGGAGTTGCTTTCAGTCTTCTGGTTCTTGCCCTACTCGAGCACCTGCCCTCTTGCTGTGCTTCTGACTGCATGCCCACACCTCACCAGCTCGGGATAAAAGATAGTTTCTGGCTCAGAACGACCGCATGCGGCTGAAATTCGGAAGGTTCCCTGACAAGACATGGCGAAATCACCTTTGTGGCTCTTTTTCTTGGCAGGCAGGAGAACTGAAGAGAGCATGAACGCAGGATGTGTTTTGCGATCGCAGAGGCGACAATCGTCATCGCGCATGTTCGCTGCCACTGTCGTCGGTATTCTGCCTGCTGAATACATAGTATCGAGGGGAATTTACAGCACTTCTTGTGCCAAGCCAACGCATCTTGGCTGAAGCGTATAAGACTACATTCCACAGCCTTCGTTTTCGTTCTGCCATGTGTTGTCGAGTGAAGAAGCCAGAGCTGTGGAATGCAGCAGAGCTTCGATGACAGTTCAATTTCACAGTTCACAGAGAGAGAGAGAGAGAGAGAATTCCGGATCTCTCAAAGCAGTATTGGACAGGAAGGGCGAACAAGTTGATGGCTCTCCTGGGCGAATGCTAGCATCTCCAATCTGCTGCCCGATCCTTCACTCGCCGGTGCCCTCCAATCTTTCTTGATTTGTCCGCATTCGCCTAAATGGTGCTACGCTACACGCCAACAAGACTGCGCTTGGGAGGCTAGTAGATAAAGCGGCGCGGCAGACACAGCAATAGCCTGCAGCAAGTAAGCGTTTGTCCCTGGCTTTGTATCTTGACTGCGCCAAGAGTAGAGTCCCCACTGGTTGTTGTCCACAACACGGGGACTCAATGTCTGGCATGAGGATTGAGGGAGTTAGGTGGGCTGGTTCGAAACCTTCACTGTGGTCATTCGAAACTCGATGTGAAGATGTGAGCTGCTGCAAGAAATTTAAGTGTCTCCGGCTTAAAGGCTTGACACGAGCAGGACCCTCCGCGAGGAAACAGCGAGCTGGATGCAGGATATACAGAATCTTTTAAATACAACTTTACGGAATTACCCCGCGCGCAAATGAACCTTCAACCCGAAGGCCGAGCGAAACATCTTGCCCTTGCTCAACAATCTTCTCGAGACTTGGCTGAGTGTCGACTTCGGTTTTTTGAAGCACCATGAAACAAGTCCGAAGCCTTTCTCCGATCAGGAGAACCGAGAGATGACACTAGAGGATGGCAGCTTTCTGATGGCACCGGGCCGCGAGGAGGGACTGAAGCCAAGAAAGCCGTACGAAAGCTCTGCTCTTTGGCTTGGCAGGAGGAGATCCGGTCAAGTGGTGGGCGGCAACTGCTGCCGGTGTCCAGGAGACCTGGCCAGACAGGCATGCGAGAAACAGTTCCATGTCGCTGCTGCTTGTTGCAGCTCAGGGATCAGACTCTTTCGAAGGCGATAGCAGGAGCTTTCGACGATGCTCGTGGGTCCAGGTCCAACTTGGAATCCTGCCTTGAAAGCTCAGGAAGTTCCTGGCCATCGCAATTGGCTTGCCTGTACCGACCTATCCTGGGATCGCCTTGGATCCGCCGCTGAGGTCCCGCTTCGCTGCACGGCGAGTGCAGGGAGACACAGGGATCAGATTTCCGGGAGGTTGGCGGTGGACAAACTTCCCAAATGGGATATACGTAACAAGTCCCGAAGGAGACGTGATCTAGTTCATTGCCCTAAGGATTGGGAAGGCAGGTTTGGCCAGTGTCTTCTGCACTCTGATGAGATTGGTAGCACTCCTGCTTCTGATATCCGAGACATTCCGAAACTCCAGCCCAAAGGTGATCATGCAATGAAGAAGATCACGGAAGTGGTGGCCTTGTGGAGGGCTGCCAACGGTGGGAAGCAAGCCAGGCTTCCGCGATTTCCAGAGTTTGGCTTGATCTCGGTGATGAACTTGATGCAACTCTTCCCATCGCTACCCGAAGCAGCAGCTCTCCACAGTGCGTTCCCTTGGACGCTGCTGCAGCTGAGCAACGCTCAACGTTCTGCAGTGCAATCAGCTCTGAAGCTACACAATCTTGAGTTGCCTGGCCCAGACAGGCAAGGGTACGGCCTGAAGAGCATCGAACAGTTTCCTCTCGTGCCTGGATCCAATCGAACACCTCTTCAGTTTTGTTGATTTTGTAGACATTCTTTGTTTTCTTGTTCAGTCCGACTGAAGGACCGCTCTGCACGGCTCGTGTTCCAAAAGGGCCAAGGGGACTGCACTGTTTCTTGCCCCTGCGGTGAGTGGCCCTCGAAACACGAGCAGATGCCACAGTTGGCCCCCATGCAACAAGCTATGCTCTCGCAGCTCTTACGCGATCATGCTGTGGGCATGGACATTTGCCTCGTGGGGGAGCGAGGCGTGGGCAAGACCGTACTGTGTCGTGCTTTCGCTGAAGCCCTGGGCTACCGCACATACAGCATTTTTTGCTTCAAGGACCCCGCACATCAGCAGCATCTCGCCACGTGACACATTAGACACTGTTGGTTGCAAACTCTACCAACGAATGCGCAATGCTCTCGGTACACTATCTTGCAGGCACTCAGGCACTGTGTCGGCTAAACAAAGAATATGATTGTGTCTTGCTTGTCAGGACATGACTGCACGGGATTTGACTTTGCGTCGCAGCACCGACGACCGGGGCAATACGATATGGCAGCCCTCACCACTCACACAGGCTGCCATGGAAGGAGGTTGGACACTCTTGAGTTCCATTAACAAGTCGCTCAAATCGACCTGTTTGGATCTTCCGATTGATGAAGCGATCAGCTTGATAGTCCCATAACTCATATCATCTGCCATAGCTTCCGTCAATCTTCAAAAACGACACCAAACCAGAACTTTACGGACACCTTTACCTCTTCGCCAGGCTTGGCTATTTTGGATGGCATCCACCGCCTCAGCCCGGGTGCCCTGGCTGGTTCTGTTGGCCGTCTCCTCTGCGACCGTGAGGCCGTATTACCGGACGGGACAAGGATCGTCCAGCAGGCCAGGGTTGACATTCAGGGATCCGGAGATGCTTGTAGATTCACGAATCGGTTCTGCGATCTTGGAAGAATTTTGGGGCCTCGCTTCATGTACCGATAGGTCAGAGCCCTTGAAGAGCCTGCGCCTTTGAGCTTTGCGCCCATAGCAAGGCTCTCTTGCTTGAGCTCTCAACTTTAGCCTCAAATCACATAGCTCTAAAACGCCGTGAGTCAGTGGGATTTTGACCTCCTCTCGGCTTCAGTAGATGTTTTAATGGATCTTTTTGATCTACAAGTTGCGGACTTCCGACTACACACACACGACGCTGGTGACAAGGCGCAGTGGGATCAGTGGTTGGATCAGGGCTGGTCAGCGGCGACTCTCCTCGATGAAGGCTTTCGACCCGTACATCGAGCCTTCCGAGTGATAGCTACTGCTGAGCCTCCTCAAGACAAAGATCGGTCTTGGTTGGATGATGAGCTGCTGACACTCTTCCACTTCAGCGAGGCCGGTCTGTGAATGTATATATGCACGCATACAGGTTTATATATATATATATATATATATATATGTGTGTGTGTGTGTGTGTGTGTGCGTGTAAGAGTAAGGATTAACAGGCCGCAGAGCAAGGAGGTGTTCAACCAATAGAGCGTAGTGTTTCAATGCAGCCAGGTGAAGCCTCTGCCAGCCTGGCAACAAGCCAAGCTTGTGACGCAACTCTGTGGCTTGCCACTCGAGCACCCAGTGCTGAAGGGACTGCTGGCCTACGGCAAAGCCCTGCGCGCTGCAGCCAAGTCGGACGTGGCGCTGCAGCCACTCGTGTTGAGCATGCGGCAGCTCCTGCACGTCTCGCGGCGCCTTAAGGCGCGGCCCGATGCCACCGAGGCGGCACAGGCAGCACTGTCGGGTTACGCAAGCTTCCTGCCGCCACTGTCCAAACAGGCGAGGCATTGCGGGAACGGCCTGCTTCCGGTGCAAACAGTTTTGGTAGCTCGACATGTCAATGCAGGCTGCATTGCGGATGATGCGAGAGGCAATGAAGGGCACAGGTGTGCAAGTGGACCTGGAGAATGCAGAGGACTGATGGCAGCACTCCTTTTGAATGCATGGAGATATGTATGGAGACTGAAGAGTAGCGATTACTGCACACTGCAACTGGTCCTTATTGGAAGCTTTGCTGGATAGTACCGCTATCTCTCTGCCAAGAGTGCGTCTGCAAAAAGACCGCAAGCGTTTCTTTCCGGAGCCCACACGTGTGCGCGCGTTGCACGCTTAAGCATCGACCTAAACCCGTGAACGGTTTGGCTTTGAAATGCAAGTCGCCACAGCAAGTGTGAGTATGCATCAGACGCACCATCAGTCTGCACATCATTCGTAAGGTCAAAGCACCCCTCAAGCTGTAAAGCGGAATTGAAGCCCAATCGCTTGCGAATTAAGCTTATCAGGATTGCACCCTCGAGCTGCGATCGAAGGAAAAGCAATATCCCTTAGAGATAACCATCTTGCCAACGCTGAGGAAGCAGTCAAAAGGGAATACCTGCCAGCTTTAGCATACTCCAGCGGGGCATCGAAGAATGGAAGGCCGACATGGGAGGGTCAGCAAATCATGTTGAGAAACCCACCACAAGAGATCCATACAATCACCCATGCCATTTGAAGAGAAAGTTGGGATCTCGTCACTGCTCGACTCGAATACAGCACTGGTCTTTCACATAAGACAACATCTTCTCGACCTTCTTTGCTTGGCTACGCGGAACAGGCATCAACCCTCTCCGTTGCAGTGCTGCCGACATGAGCCCCAACTGGTGATCAACATCTTTCCACGTCGCATACTCGGTCTGGGCCAAAAGTGTGAAAGTTGCGTAGGTGGTTCGATCTGAAAGTCTCTCCGCTGAGTGCCGGTCAGAGTTTAATCGTGAAACTTAGAGCGTTCCGCAGCAGCGTGGCTCCTGGTGTGTGCAAAAAGGCCCATTGCGCATGGCATCAGCGGTGCTGTGCGGATTTGCTGTCAACATTGGCAGCGGAGCAGGGGCTCCATGACATCCACGGCGGATGTCCAGGCGGGGACAGCGGCTCAGGGGGATCCTACAAGCATCGACCCCCTTCCTAGCAGTGGCTCAGCAACAGCGTCTGGCTGGTGGAACGGCTGGAATGAGGATGCAAGCTGGTGGCAACATGGCAGTTCTTGGGGTTCCTATGCAGGGCCTCGCTGGCATTCCTTTGGCTATGGAGGCTGGCACTCACAGCAGGGACCCAGTTGGTCCGATGATCAGTGGCGAACCAAGCAATGGGGAGAAGATTCGGTTGCCGGGCAGAAGACTGGGCAGCAGCAATCTTCGAGTTCAGGTGAGCTACCTGGTGAAGCGTCGGAAGAGCCGACTGCAGCAAGGAGACAGTCAGTCTCCACGATGGAGGACGACCCATGGGCGGGGGAGGGCACAGGTTCGCTTGACGAAGGGTCGTCGAGCAAGGTGGCCTCTGCCAAAGCAAGTGGGAAAGACTTCATTCCAGAATACGACGGCTCGAGTCCTATGAGAGAATATCAAAGGAGGGTCAAACTTTTCGAGATCTCAACGAGTATTGACCCCAGTTTCCGAGCGCAGAAACTCATGGAAAAGCTGACCGGGAACGCATGGTTGGCCACAGAGTCGATTCCTTTGGAGTCGCTGAAGCATCCAGATGGCGTTGCTCGCCTTCTGGACCACCTCTGGAAAGAGCTGGAGCCGCTTGAGTTTCTGAGGACCTTCCAGGCCTTGGCAGACTTCTACAAGGGCTTCCGGAGACAGAAGACTCAGGAGTTTGTCTCGTACGACATGGAGTTTCGAAGGCATGGTCAGCGACTTGAAGAAATCAATGCAGGCTTGTCAGGAGTGACAAAAGCGTATTGGTTTTTGGAAAAAGCCGGCCTCTCTTCTGAGCTGAGAAAGCAAGTTGTTGCCGCCGCCGGAGGGCAATACGACTATAACAAGTTGCGTGCAGCTG